AGTGCTGTACGGAGCCGTGGAATGTCTTGGGATACAAGACGAATTGTCTGAAGGTTATCACACTGAATCATTGGCTGGCCGTCGAGCTTCAATGAAAGCTGCATGAAGAGGCGCATGGTTGCAATGGTTTCCTTAACAGTGTGAGTGAGGGCGAGGAGCTCGGCTTCAGTGGATGACGTTGTGACGGTATCCTGTTTGCCTGCTTTCCAAATGATTGGCCCGCCGAAAAGGGTGAGAATGCATCCTTGGGATGACTTTCTGGTTTGTTTGTCGTCCGCAAAGGCTGCATCAGACGCGATTTCGAAATCACTTGTGTAGTGGGTTTCGAGGGATGATGTTGGGGCGGATATACCTGCGGGTGCGGGATCCGAAATTGAAATGGGTTCCATTGAGTCTGAGAACTCAATTGCGAGATACCTCGTGGCGTAGAGATACTCAATCAAATGGTCTACCGCCTTGGAATGGTGTTCCGAGGGGTTGAGGAGGAATTCTGAGAGTTTTGAAGCTGCCTTAGCTATGTCCGGGCGAGTGATCACTGATGCGTAATTCACAGAGCCGACTTTGCCTTGGTAGAGCTGAATTTCGTCATTAGATTAGGCTGTAACTCATTTGTGGGGAAAGGGACGCCTTTGACTTCATCGAGCTGTCTGAGACCGTATTTCTGAACGATCTTCTCGATGTAGGAATCTTGGCAGAGCCATAGCTTCCTATTAGGCCTATCGCGAAGGACGCGAATTCCCAGGAACCATTGGAGCTCTCCTTGGTCCGTCATGGCGAACTTGGCTCGAAGGGCTGCTGCTAGCTGATCTGCTGCAGCTGTATTTGCTTTCCAGTAGAGGAAGACTATGTCATCAACGAAGAAGAAGACAGTGAGCCAGTCGTTCTGGAAGATACAAGGTTCGTCAGGGCATTGGGTTAGTCCGAGGTCTTCAAAGGCTGCTGTGAGATCTTTCTGCCAAAGAAGAGGGACCTTCGTAACCCGTACAAAGCTCTGTTGAGTCTAAGTACCCATCCGATTCGCATGAAGCCGTCGGGGAACCGGACGAAGATGACTTCATCCTTATCAAGGAGGCTGTTTGTGAATGCGTTGACCGCGTCGAGTTGCCTAGTCTCGAGGTCAAATTTGGCTGTGATAGCCATCAGAATGCGAAAGGAGCGGCCTGCAAGGGTTGCTGCATAGGTGTCTTTGTCTCCTAGCAATTGCAAGTCTCCGCGGACGCAGATTCGGGCTTTGAACTTGATGAGGAACCCGTGCTTGTTGAACTTATATTTAAACACCCAGGTCAGGGGTATAACACGGCCTACGGCTTCGGCCTGTGGAATCGGAGTGAACGTTCTTCTCTGTTGGAGGGATCTCCATTCGACGTTTCCGGCTTCTTTGAACTGTGGTCCAAAGGGATGATTCTTGAGGTCTCTCCAGGTCTTGGGTTCAGGAGGAAGGATCTTTGATGAAGCTTTTCTTCTCTGCCGAGAAAGAAGCTGCTATGAAAGCGTCCTGTTGTGAGAGCTGAGAATGCTCCGTGCTTTCGAGGTTGTGGGGGTCTTTGTGACCTGCGAGGTTGCGGCGCTGCGGCTGCTGGCTGCCGACTTAGTGGTGTGAGTTGAAGAGAATCTGGTGGAGAATCTCTCGTGGGAGCAGGAGATGGATAGGGATTCTGATCCGTGTCCTTATGATCAAATGGTTCATCGGTTTGAACCACGATGGTGTCATCGGGCTGAACTTCAGTAGGCGATTCAGGGGTCTGAGTGATATTTTCGCTGATTTCCTCGTAGTCAGATTCGTCTTCAATATGAGCTGGAAGTTGAACTTCTAGACGTGAATGCTCCTGATCAGATGGTTCTGATAGGTCCGGGTCGTAGAAAGAGTCCTCAGTGAATTTGACATCACGAACTCGTCTGATTTCATCTCGGGAAGGAATCCAAATGCGGAAGATGTTAGTAGAATCGTAGCCGACAAGGTAGCCGACTTCGGCGTGAGGAGAGGTCTTAAGATCCTTCTTCTGGGTGTTGTTTAGAGCCCGAACTGTCAAAGGATAGGCTTTACAACCATATGCTTTGAGGAAGGTGGTGTCTGGCTTGATGTGACCCTGAAGGTATCCTGTATCCTTCTTTTCGTCAAGGAGCCATTGATGAAGCTTCTCGAACGGGGTTTTCCAGTCAGAGGATTGCTGGGGCGATCTGTTGTGAAGGAAGGCTGCGGCGTTCCAAGTTTCTGGCCACAAATCATGGGGAAGATTCGCTCCTATTTGCATAGTGCGAGACTTGGTGGATATTACCCCCCCAGATCGTTCAGCTGATCCATTCTGTGCGGGTGTGTAGGGAGCAGAAGGCTCATCCTTGATGCCTTCGTGTGTGATCCATTCATCGTAGGCTGTCTGTAGCCCAGGATCGTTGTCCCTGTGGATGATGCAGACTTGTAGCTTCCATTGACGGAAAATGAAGGCAGCGAATGCTTTGAGAGCACCCATGAGGGACTCTTGCGTGGTGTCGTTGAGAGGATAGACGAAAATCATGCCTGTAAAATCGTCTGTGACCAAAAGGGCGGCTCTCTTCCCGTTGAAGGAAGGGTGATGACTGAAGATATCTATGTAGATTCTCCAGAAGGGTCGCGGCGCCTTCGTCTGTGGTTTCCGTCTCGAAACAAGCCGTTTTGCTTTGCCTAGGGGAGCAAGCTTCGCAGTCAAATTGCAATGGGCCTTTGATCTTGCATCCGAGAGTGTTTTCAACAGCGTGTTGAAGTGCATCAGCGTTCAAGTGGCCTAGTCGCTTGTGCCAAAGGCTGGCTTCTGCTGACTGCAATGTGCGCGGGCTTGAAGAGGCTGCAAATGATGATTTTGGGAGTTCATTGTACTCAAGAACGGGCTGACGATGCACACGCTTTGTGATGCATATGATTGTACCGTCATCTTGCTTGAATACCTTTCCTGAAGCAGGATCCCAATTGTATCCCTTTTGAATGAAGAGGTCGAGCGAGGCAACGTTGGTATGGAAGTTCGGGATGTATGCCACGTTGTTGAGCTGAAATAGCCCACCTGTGATACGTAGCATTACAGTGCCGTAACCAAGAATACATAGCTGTGAGTCGCCTGCGAAAAGTTCTTCTGGTTGATCAAGGGGAACGTAGTTGGAAAACCGGGATTCGTTATTGCAGATGTGCGTATCGGATCCGGAATCCAGGATAAATGAGTCTCGAAGAGGATATGGAGCCTTTAAAGTTGAAAAGCTCGTGCGATGAGTGAGTGGAGTAGGGAATGAATCCGGCGTAGGGGCAGGCTCGTGATCAGATGCTTCTTCCATCGGAAGTCCTGCAAATGCTGCACCTTTGAGGGGTTCTTCCTTCTTGTCCGACTCCAGGAGAGTGCCAGTGCGGTCCAAGATAGTATCAACTTTGCGTTTCAAATCAATGTTGGACTCAAGCTTATCTCTGATCTTCTTGAGGGCGGGTTCATGAGGGACCCATCCTTCTGGTCTGATCGTTTTGTCGAGGTAGAAACATTTATTGATTGAGTGGAATTTGTTACCACAAACGCAACGGTTCTCCTTCTTCTCATCGTCTGAAGTAGGCTTCTGCTTCCCATCTTTGTCACGGCCTTGGAAGCCAGCTGGAAATGCTCCGCCTTTATCATTGTTGCCCTTGGAACCGGCATTCTTAATGCGGTGGGCGCGTTCGAAGATCTCAGAGATTTTAATGCCGTCTGGGAAGTGGTCCTTCCAGTCGGGTTTTCCGGTGACAGCTTCATCCTCCATTTTGTTGATCCAGTAGTCAGTGAATGGTTCGTTGATGGATGAGACTGCCTGAAGAAAGTCTTGAGTAGGGCGGAGACCCTGTGTGTCAGGGAGCCCTAGTTTCTTGGCTTCGGTGAGGGTCTTCTGCCACTTCGTGACCCAGGTCTCAATCTCGGACCTGTCAGGGGCTCGAAGAACGGCTCGGTAACGTTCCAAGACTTCTCTCAAGGGCCCAGTCAGTCGGTGCGACTCTGGCTTGGAGGAGAGATAGTTGCTTGGCAACGTCATGTTCGTCAGCAATTGTGCTGTAGTAATTGCCGATATGCTTGACGATGTGTTCTTGAAGGCTGGCGAGGGCCTTCGTGTTGTCCCGATAGGTTTGGAGCCTAGATCGGTATGATGTGTGAAGATATTCCAATCGACGGAATTCTTCTGAGGTTAGAGCACCAAGATCAGATGCTTGGGCGTTCACCTGGATGTGTGTAGGCTCTGATGGCCTTACAATGGTTGATTTGTCGTCATTCGCAGGGTCCACAAACTCCCAGATGTTATGAGATGTGGCGAATTTCTGGATGACGGAAATCCATTGTTTCCAGTCACAAGGTCCGTTGAGAATGATGACCTTGGAAGAGCTCTCGTGATCAGATGATTGAGCCATCTTGTCGTCGCGTGATGATGCGAAGTGGAAGCGATACCGTGAAAATAATATAATCACCCAGTTGTGCAAACCGGGCTCATAACTATTGCAGTACGAGATGGGCAGCAAGCATTGATCTTGAGTGGAATAAAGCTCTTGATTCTTCTATCTAGAGAGGGAGTGTAGATGATCTTATATAGATAGAAGAACAGTGGAAGTGAATGAATAACCCAGCTGTTGGGTTGTGGCTGTGTAAAGCGTAGGCAAAGGAAGGTTAATTGCCTGCATTAGCCTAGGTTGACTGGAAGACCAAATGAGCCTTGGCTGGTATACGGCCGAATATGCCTCTAACCCAGCTGTTGGGTTGTGGCTGTGTAAAGCGTAGGCAAAAGGAAGGTTGGTGAGGCTTGTAGATACTGATGTGCCAGTGTGACAGTGCAACACTATGTATATATGTATGTTGAGAGCTGTCAGACAGAATTGAATAGAAGTAAGTGTCACGGCACCAGGAAGTGGCCAGATAACCTTGTTGATCTATGAAGAGAGGAAGAACTAGTAGCCAGGAGGTCTACGTGTATATAAGGCGTAGCACGTGACATGACACGTGATACGTGATGGGTACTGTGACAGTACTCCTCTAAAATCGATTTGGTCCCCAAATCGTCAAACCAGTTGAAAAGACAAGCATCGTTAGGGCGCAGTGCGGGGCGACTTCGGCGTGGCCGTGCGGGGCGTCTGTTGCCCAAGCAGGGGCCAGGCTTTTCTGGGTTTCGTTCGTGGAAGCGTTTACGGCTCCCTCGCATCCCTTCAGGTCATCCTCCGGCTGCCAGGTTGGCTCGTCGTGGTGCTTCCATTTTATCAGGTAGGTCAGTCCATGCTCGGGATCCTCGTCGTGTACGTCTAGGATCTTCTCGAATTCCCATTTTTCCTCAATGTTGCCGTCGTCGTCTCGTTCCGCGACGCGGCCAGCAACATTGCGTCGTTCATCGGCGTTGATCTGGGCTTGGCCTGGTATCGACTCAGGGTGCCAAAGGCGTACTTTTGACGTGTGGAAAGACTTATTGACTCGGATATGCTGAGGCAGGTCTACAACGACCGCACCGCGGTAGGCTTCAAGAACTGGGTAGGGTCCATCCCACTTGTCATCCCACTTCTTCTTTGGCCTGTTGGTTTTCATGTTTTCAAGGGATACTATTACCATATCGCCTTTTTGAAACAGGGGGCCCTCATCGCGCCTTGTGTTAGCATTATCTTCGTACCGTTGCTGTGAGATGCGGGCTAGGGCCTTGAGCTGCGTGAGAATACGGTCAAAACGTCCTGCAATTGCGTCTGCGCGTAGGAACTCCTTCTTTGCCAGCGGTGAGAGGGTTGAGGGCTGGGGTCCGGGAGGTTCAATTCCTAGGCGTGGGTTGAATCCGTAGTTTGCGAAGAACGGGGAGATGCCAGTGGTCTCGTTTACTTGATTGTTTGTTGCAAACTCGGCAAGGGGTAGCCAATCCACCCAGTCGTCCTGTGTGAAGCTCACAAATCCTCTGAGATACTTGTTCATTGCGGCGTTAACGATCTCAGTCTGACCGTCAGTCTCAGGGTGCCATGCAGAGCTTGGTCTCAGGGTCGTATTAAGGCGTGTGCTTAGGCGTTTCCAGAAGTCTGAAACGAACTGGGTCCTCTATCGGAGACGATTGTGTCAGGGCGCCGTGCAGCCTATAGACAGTCTGAACAAATGCTTCTACCAGTTCCTCTGTAGAAAGGCCAGTAACTGGGATGAAGTGACGCATCTTTGTGAGACGATCAACTACAACAAGGACATTCTCGTACGTCTTGCCGTTTCGGAGGCATTTCGGAAGCGTTGTGACATAATCGATAGAGATATCCGCCCACGGGCGAACAGGCAGTTCAAGGGGCTTCAGGAATCCGGGCGGGGACGAGCGGGGGGTTTTCGTGCGGAGGCAGAGGGCGCAGTCTTTAACAAACGTAGCGGTGAATTGTGAAATCCCAGGCCACCAGTAGGTCCGGTTCAACAGGTCTAGGGTTTTTATCCTGCCTGGGTGACCGGCAGGGCCGCTGCTGTGAGACCTGTGGACGACTTCGAGGCGGAGGTTGGGGGCGTTCGGGATAAAGAGGCGTTTGCGGAAAAAGATCCTTCCGTCAACCAATTGGCACTCAGACATATCGCATCGTAGGAGCTTGCGTATATTCTCCGGCCATCGTCGGGTCTCTGGGTCGTGTAACGCAGCGATCATGTCCTGGGAGAGCTCGTCTGTGTGGTATGCCTCGCGGATAAGTTCATCAAGTGACTTCTATGATGATGGCTTAGGCGTCACGGCGAGATGGTGGTCAGGGCCGCGATCGCCACGTGCTGTCCATGGCAAGGTTTAACGTGCCGGCCCCGAGGCATGTTTGTGCATACGTACATGCATATATATCTTGTATTTATGTATGTATATATGTATGTACATATGGTTGCCCTGGTCTGCATGAGCTCGGAGTAGAGGGGAACAAGGTTTGGTGTTTGGGTCACTACAGCACCGACGTGCTGCAACGCAACATCGCAGACGTCATGCCGACCTCGATGGCGCGCAGGTGGGTCGCTTTCTGTCACGTCGCGCCACATTTTGTCTTGCCTTGTCTCGTCTTTGTCCCCCCGTCATGTCGTGGCGGCCCAAACTAATTGGCAGGGTAGTTCGAGCACGATCTCACTGCAGCCGATCATTAGCCCAAGGGCGGGGTCTTTAGACCCCCACTTGTAAGCTTACCCCTGACTCGTATTGTGTGTGACACACCGCCACTAGCTCGAGGCAACCCCAGGTACGGATACTCAGGATACTTTATGTATCTAGTCTTCTCTAGCCTAGCACGTCTTTTGCTCGTATAGGGATGTCCCAAACGGTAATCAATACTACTAAGTTACTAGTTATAGTAATTAAATCTCGCGATAACCTCACTTTCTGGATGCCAATTGCCTTTGCCTTATGTTACGAAAAGTTGGAGCTACTGTCTAATGATTCAGATGACACTAAGTATCTGGCTTCGCGACACCTCTATGTTATGTCAGACATGTTTGTCGATAGTGTAAGTGCGCCTCACCAATCGTGACTTACGACAGCGCCATTTCCAGAGGGGAAACGCGCATAGCTAAGTTACCGCTAGGTGTGAGGCGCCCTTGCCTAATACGGCTAGACACATGGAAGATAAATATCGCGCATAGAACGATTAAGGGGGTCCTGGTTTAGGGCCATGCATAGGTGATGATTCGTTCAAGAAGGGTGCCCTGCACATGGAGATCGTTGGTCAGCAGCGTCCTGCATCTTTTGCTGCAGGTCATCAATCCTACCACCTGTTCTCGGATGGCTGCCGCCACAGCCCAGAAAGGATTAGTTAACCATGAAATTGCACTGCCGGCCGAATCGCGCTTCTGCTTCACCCGACATTCTCGAGATGGTTGCAATATGTACACAGCAATGACCTGACGTCTTCGTTCTACGAGCTGCTATGCCGCAGCCACAGTGTGCTTCCACCTCTCTTAGCACTTTTTCTGCCAGATTTTGCGTTGTACCAGGCACTACGCCCTCTTCTTGAGATGGCTGCGTTTAGAGGCATATGGAGGGGAAACCCGAAGGTGGGCGTAGTGGAGGGTCTCGTGGCAGCAGCTCGGTTGGAGCGCGATGAAGCGGGATAGTGCAGAAGTACTTTAAAGTAGAGCTAGAGAGAAGAGGAGTGAAGGCGAGGGTGGGAGATGTGGGGTCTCGGAGACGTATGCGAGAGAATGGTGAGGGGCCACAACTTGCGTCACCAAACCGCGTCCTTTTTGGGCGCATTTCAGCGACACTACTTCCAGGTACATGGGCACAAACCGCGATGATGACGTTCGAGGTGCGGCAAGGGCTATTTACCTACCCCAACCTCCAGAATTGCCGCTTTTGGCGGCTCCAACACTGTCTGTTGATCTGAAACGTGCTTGTGAACTACGCCCAGAAGAAGGTTAAGACATTTTCGATTCTTCTGCGACATAGGTTTTCCCGCCTCCCCGCCCGCCGAGCCAAGAATATAGCGTCTAGATTGGGCAAAAGCAGGCTCAGGTAAGTCTGTCGAGAAGAAGGTCCGAACGAGTTGAGGTCTCTAGGTCTCTCTAGGTAATACAGCTTGAAACCAGTAAGAAGGAAGTCTGCAGACTGTTGTTTCTTCTTCCTAGGGGTCCGGAGGATCTCCTATTCGAACGGGGACCCTTTGAGGAGTCCGGCATAACTATTACTGGCTCGGGACCTCGAGAGACTGAACTATCGATTTCATAGCTAGAAGAGCTATTCGATCGGGGAGATGGAGCTGATGTTGCTGACGTAGATGACTTACGTGGCCTTCAGTAAGTGGCAAGAAGTGCCCTCTTCCTGATAGAATGTATACTATACCTGAAAACGGGATATCAACTTGGGAGAAGCTTGGAGGGATATAAAAGGGGCTGCTTGGACGGGAAAGGAGGCAACGGGGGAAGGAGAGATAGAAGAAAAACATCTGATCGGGTGATACTCGACCTTCGAAAAGTCCTTTTATCCACTCTTATGCCCACTTTTGCTCTCTCCTTCGCGAGAAAGTCTGGTGGGCAACGGTCGTGGACATGCGCGAGTAGTTCATACTCCTGTGGAGCTAATGAGCGCCGAAGTGCTCCTTTATTGTCCTGACTGGCTTACTATGTAACATAGTGTACACTACAGTATTATTTCCGTTTGAGCTGGTCTTTTACCAGGAGGAGGCAGAATTCAGCCGGGCAGGAGGGCTTTGCACAAACTTCATGCATGTTTCGAGAGACGGCGCACGTCTGGATGGCGTCATCTTGTCCTCTTAGTAGAAGCGATTTTGACCAATGAGAACTGGAGCTTAGAACATCAATAACTCTGGGCTGCGCGTATGATTGGTCAAGTGACGCCAAGCTGCATCAGAGGCTGTGCACCTGATGGCCGTTAGGACCTGCGGGACGGAACAGAGTGAGTCAGTCAGTCACAGATCGTAAGAGACAGGGTCACACAACAAGGGGCACGGTTGGTGTGGATGACTGAACAACGATCGGGAAGAAGATCCCCTGTGTATCGGGCAACGAAAGACTCTTGATTCTCTATCTAAGTGATGGTGAAAAGTTGGCTTCTTATACTTGGAATTTTGGGCTGAGTGGCGATGTCGCCACCTAGGCAGCATGTAACGGGCTAGGCCCTGCTGGACAAGGCAGTGCCTTGTCGGTCTAAGCACTGTTGCTCCAGTAACGGCTTAGTCTATTTTGTTGGAGGATTTCTGTCCTTCTATTTTCCTTTCCTTCTTCTTTCCTCAGCTCGAATGTAAAACGCACGAGGACTACATAGCTGTAATTTACACTATTAGAACCCATCACACAGCATAGATGACGATGTCACCTAGAAGGTTCGAATCCATCACTAATATGGCATTACGAACTGCTTGCTGCCTTTTAGGCAGCACCGTGAATGAGCGTCTTGATCTTGACAGGGCGGTAGAAACCTTTCGCCAGAACGCAAGTACGGTACGGTCAAAGCCTTGAGATGTACCTACGGCAAGCAACTGGTAAGTTAATTTTCTCCTCGATGCGTGATACTGTAATTTCGCATCTCGAATTTTTGTTATTTGAAGAGTTCAAAGAGCATGAGAGGGGGAGTATCTGCAGATTATGGAAGGGCCGGAAAAAAATTACACGATATGTATTTCGCGCAGCATCGAAGACTTTGAAGCGTAGACCGGTACACCAGATTCCTAAATACGCTACAACTTGGCGACGCGTGTAAGCCAGGATATCACAAGTATTGCGGCAGCGAAAAAATGCAGCGGCTGTACAATGTTCGTTCAACCGCTTGGCAGTGGCTTATTCGATGCTCCACACGCCGGAGCGGGCAACCCAGGGCAGCTCAGGGCAGCTCAGGACAGGCTCAGGCGGCTCAGGCAGCTCAGGGCAGATCAGGGTAGCTCAGCCCCTGCTCAGGGTAGCTCAGTCCCTGCTCAGGTTCGGCACGTACTTACTCAAGGTGGATCAGGTGGTGCTAATGGAAATACAATAGAGTGTGAACTTTCAAGGGTAGACCATGATTGCTTTGTCGCGCGGCTGGAATAGATCTGAGGAGCGTGTATCCTGAAGCTTCGGGAGGATTCTCGCGGCCAGCCCTTCATGGCAGACTGGTTGCTCGCTAGCTTGCTGGGAAAAAGTAAGATAGCTGCGTGCCTCCCCTAGGTAACTGTTAAAGGCACCACGATAGCCCAATTGACCTCCATCATGCCGTAAGAAGTAATGAGCAGGCAAACATTCGAGGAGCAAATTGACGTTTTTCAAGAATGCTCGTTCCTTAGTTACGTTGTGTTCTAGTCACATTGACGATCGATGCACTTCCCGCGACTGAGACCCGATACGATGCCGCCCACGTGGTTGTCCTTGACAATTGGTTTGTTGCAAAGGACGCTGGACGCTCGATCATGCACGCCTTTTATCTAGGTGTGGATTTTTAGGTGGCCCGACGGCCGTTCAAGCGAAAGACAGAATTAATGTTTAACGACGATTAC